CCCTCTTCTCTCCACCACACATGCTTCAAGTGGCTAGGAGGGCATCCTCCCTTTTAAGGAGGTCCCCCTCTCCTAGAATAAGCAAAGTGGTACTAAACTCCACATGCATGCCATCCCATGAGGTGGGCTTTTGTGATTTTACAAAGAATTAATCTTCGAATGGGCCTTAGCCCATCTATTAATTCCAACAGTGCACACACATGCCGCCGGTCTTGCATGAGATATAAAGATGCGATTCGCTCACCTGACGGAGGAGAGGGAAGGTGGTGGCCGCGGATCTGGACAAGTCGGTGGAGGGGAACACTACATGGTCGGGGTCGGGCGAGCCCCGGAGCGCAAGCAGGAGGAAGAGGCAGGCAAGCGTGAGGAGGAGGGCACGAGGCGGAATCACCACGGGCGCTGCTGCCACCAACCGGCGCTTGAACGACGATGGCCGCCGCCTCATCGGATCGCGCGGCCGACCCACCGCGCCGCCGGTATCCAGCGAGGCAAGGGCAGGGCACGACGGCCGGGCGCGGCGAGATCTGAGGGATGCGGTAATCGCTTTGTGTGACGGCCGCGGCGAACGCATTGCAGAAGGGTGGCCGAGAAGAAGAAAGAGGAAGAAAGGGGGAGGGAGAGAGTCATAGAGAGAGGGTGGCAGGTGGGTCCCATTTTATTTTTTCAATTTGTAGAAAAAATATCCTTACGTTACAATGGGTGAAGTCTATTTTAATCTTATTATTGTTATATGGTTTAGTTAAAATGAAATTCACTGTTCGTTTGGATATTTATATTTTTGAAAAAAATCATGAGCTGCAGTTAGGAGTCCGATCGTCTCAAGTTAGCATGCGAGTTTTTTTAAAATAGATTTCTTATATGATTCCTTCTGTATTACCAAAAGTGAACGATCTTAAAAACCGACCTAAGTACGGATATGTGTTTCCAAAAGCAAACGAACTTAAAAACCGACTCATACACGGATGATGTACCAAAATACCGACAAAAATATTTTCAATTTTTATAATAGTAGAGATTTGATGACTGGGATGCCACGTGAACGCCACATCAGTGAAACCACCCTCCAAAACCACCGAGAGAGTTAAACTGCATTTGGTTTTAATAGTTGGTGGTCGAGATATCCGATATTATTATTCAGGGATACGAATCAGATTCGGCAACTGGCTAAGGAAGTCAAAATGAACTTAATTCCGGGAGAAAATCATGGCCTCTAACTGAGCTTCATTTCGGCCTATTTAGGGCAACAAGTGGGCCAATACTTGGCCGAGTACAAGATGGCCATGTGGGTTCATAATTCATTTACCTATTTAGTGCAACAGTTTTGGCACCAGTAGACTTGTGGACCACTTTGAGCCAATTTTGGGTCTGAGGTGTGGCCTAATTATAGGATATATGACGATTTACTAAAAATTACTTTTGGCCCATCTAATGAGGATTATATCAATAATAATTGATATTTAATAGGATTCATACAGGCGTAACAAGAAGTATAATCCTCATTCAGATGGGCCAAAAGTTTGAACGGGGAAGTGGGTGGCCGAGAGCTTCTAATTACTGGATGTAAGCCCGATCCACTATCAGTATGGGCCTAAATTTTCGGCCCATATAATTTGGCCAGGACTAGGATTTGACACCATCCAAAGGAATAAGTCCACATTCCCTCCCTCAACTCATGGCCGTGTATGAATAGCATCCCTCAACCGCAAAACCAGATATAACTCATCCCCCAACTCCGAAAACCGTTGCAAATCAACTCCCCGGACGGTGTTGGAGGCGGTTTTGTCCTACGTGGCAATTGACTTGCTTAGTCATCACGTGGGACCCACATGTCAGCAGTCTCCACCTCATCTCATTTCTCCCTCACCATGATTCCCTTCAAGAAACGGGAAAGGAAAATATCAAGAAGCGGAGGCGAGGCGATAGAATCGAGCAGCAAGATCAACGGCAAGACAAGTAGCACATGGTGGTTGCCGAATTCAGAGAAGACGCCGGCGATCACGCGAAACAGGAAGGGGGAACGAACAAAACAAATCAGAGACCATGAAATCATCGAAGAGCACGAGCAAACAGCAAACAAGCTAGCGGAGTTCTTCTAGCGTGCGCGCGACGCGGAGCGGTTGTCCGCCATGCGCAGGTGCAGGCAATGCCACCGTCGTCCCCGTGCCGGAGCCTCTCTGTCCTCATGCTGCAGCACAACCCAATGCTCGGCGACATCCCCAATGGCTTCCTTCTCGGACGGGCGGCGAGCTTCTCCCGCGCGCGGACGGCCGGCGAGCTATTTCCCTGCGCGCGGACGGCCGGCGAGCTCCTCCCCCGCGCGCGGTCGGCCGGCGAGATCCTCCCAGCCCAAGGACGGCTGGCGAGATCCTCCCCGCGCGGGGCTGGCCGACAGATCCTCCCCATGCGCGGCCGGCCGACGAGACCCTCCCCGCGCGAGGACGGCCGGCGAGATCCTCCACACGCGTGGACGGCCGGCAACTTGGAGGGGCTGCCTCGTCCTCCACGACCCCCTCTCAGGCGATGCCCCGGCGCCTCCCGCTTCCTCTGCGTGCTCGAGCCGGGCCGCTCCCCCGCGTGCGGCGTGTCCAGCCGACGAGCTCGTCCTCCGTGCGCCGTCGTCGCAGTCGCCGCCCTGCTGATAGAAGGTGAGAGGAGGAAGATATGAAAGAGAGAGAGGGGAAGAGATGAGGTGGAGACTGCTGACATGTGGGTCCCGCTTGATGACTCAGCAAGTCAACTACCACGTAAGCAAGTCAATTTCTATGTAGGACAAAACCGCCTCCAAAACCGCCCGGGGAGTTAATTTGCAACGGTTTTCGGAGTTGGGGGATGGGTTTTACCCGGTTTTGTGGTTGAGGGTGCTATTCATACACGGCCATGAGGTGAGGGATGGAAAGTGGACTTATTCCCCATCCAATCCGGACCGTAATTTTTGGGAATAAGTTTACTTTAGGTCCCTCAATTTGTCACCAGTTCAAAATTCGTTCCTACACTACAAAACCGAGTACAACGCATTCCCCAACTTACAAACCCGTGCAAAAGTCCCTCAGCAGTACTGTCCCCGGTTTTGGCTGACGTGACGCCTATGTGGCACTCCATTGACTAGGTCTTCGTCCCACGTGGCACTGACGTGGTGTTTACGTGGCAATTCAATCCGAAAAAATAATAAAATCAGTGGGACCAACGCCAGTTACACACAAAAAATAATAAAAAATAGTGGGACCCACATGTCATCCTAACTACTCTCTTCTCTCTATCTATATTTTTCTTCTTTTGCTTCTGTAGATGGCATCCAGCGGCCGACGGGAGAGGGCGACTGACGCGAGTTCGTCGGGCCGGTCGACGGGAGAGGAGCGGCAGCGCGCGTCAGCCGGCGGGAAGGAGGGAGAGGCGCTCCACCTCTGGTGCCACATCCACGCCCATCCGGAGCTCGCGTTCCGAGAGCACCGCAACGGTGCCCTCGCCCGCCATGAGCTGGAGCAGCTCGGCCTCACCGCCGCGTAGTCGCCGGCATCGGCATCGTCACCGACGTCGGCTCTGGCCTTCCCCCTATTGTCGCGCTCCGCGCTGACATGGACGCCCTCCCCATCCAGGTCCCACCTCTTCCCCTTTCTCTGATTTCGGTCTGAGTGATTGATGAATGGTCGTAGTAGCTTGTAGGAATGCCAAAACTAGCATCTCTGTCCATCCGTGGTACTAAGAAGTTAAGGATGCGGAGTAGCTTTTGTTCGCTCATGCTTTGCTTTAGTTAGTAGTTCCACACTAAATCGCTTATTTTGAGGGATTGATTAGTACTATGACTGGTTTTCTCTTCGTTCGATTGACTTCATTCGATTGTTTGTGATGATAAAGGAATTAGTGGAGTGGGAACACATGATCAAGGTGGCGGCGCCCGTGGTACCGCTCCTCCGGTGGTCCATCCCCCATCGACGAGGTCCCCGTCACGCACTAGCTCATCAAGGTGGTGGCTGAGGTCGATGGAATCCACAGCAGCATCGGCATCGGCGACGGTGGTGTTGCTCCTCCACCTCGCGCAACCAAAGACGAGGGGGCGGCAGCTGGTGGCGGTGGTGGGCGAGGAGGAAGTCGAGGGAGGTGGCCAGGCAGCGCCAGTCGTGGCACACGGCGTCATCGCTCCTCCGCTGCGCTCGCCTGCAGAAGAGGGGTTCCCATCCTCTGCCGTTGAGGGGAAAACGGCAGAGGCGCACAGTGAAACGTGAGGGGAGCTACAGTGCCATCTCGTTGCTACAGTGAACAACACTGTAGCCACAATAAAAAATATACTAATTATTTTTATTGTTACTGTAGCATTTAATCTCGTGCATCCAAAACTTGATCCAACGGGTATAAATGCCCCCAACGGCATGTTACTGTAGTTCCGCAGAAGAGGAGATGAGGAGAGGGAGAGGGAAGAAGATGAGAGAGAGGGGGGAGAGGGAAGAGGGAAGAAGGGAGGTGTGAAGATGACATGTGGGGCCCACGTGGGTCCCACCATTTTTTATTATTTTGTATGTGAGAGTGACACGTGGGCCCTACATGTTTTATTATTTTTCCGGTTCGAATTGCGAAGTAAGCGCCACGTCAATTCCACGTTAGATGAAGACCGAGTCAAATTAGCCACGTAGGTGCCACGTCAGCCAAAACCACCATCTAAACCGCCGAGGGACTTTGTTTGCACCGGTTTTGATAGTTGAAGGGCCCGTTGTATCTGGTTTTTCGGTTGAAGGACGAAAATCGGATTCGGTGTAAAGTTAAGGGACCTCAGATGAACTTATTCCAATTTTCGGCCACACAGATTTTGGCCCAACATAACGGCCCATAAAATCTAACTTTTCGGTGGGCCACAAGCCCAAAGCCACGGAAAAGGGAGCGTCCCTGCCGCGGGATCCGGCGTGCACCCAGTCCATATCCATAGACCACCACGGCACGAGCGCCTCGAGGCGTCCGGTCCCCACCGCGTCCCCGTGAACCGGGTCCACGCGTAGCACCCCCCCTCTCTCCCCCCACCGCGGCGGAGAAAGATCTGAGCCACGTCTTCGCTCGCTCGCCGGCGAGAGGTCGACCACTTCCTCTCCTCCTCCTCCCCGCCTATAAATACGACCCACCCCCCCCCCCCCCCCCCCCCCGCGGCTTCTCCCCTCGCTTTCCCCACACGGCCGCGCGATGACGTGGCGCGCCTCGACACCACCACCTCACCTCTGAAGCCCCCCACCTCACTTCCGACCGCCTTTGGTCCCCTTCTAGAAGCTTCCAAACCCTAGAGGAGGAGGAGGAGGAGGGGTTTCGGTATGGCGAAGGCGAGGAAGCAGAAGGGCGAAGAGCAGAAGCCCGACGGCGGCGGGGCTGGCGGCGGGGGAGGGGGCGCCACCGTGCTCCACCAGAAGCTGTGCCTCTCCATCGACATGGAGAACCGGCTGATCTATGGGTGAGGCCGCGCCCCCGCTTTGCTCATGCTCGTTGCCCTAATGCGTGCCCACTTTAGCTGCCTTTGTTGGGTGGTTGATTTGGTTGGTTTGGGGGGATGGTTCGAGGCGTGCGGATTAGGGTTTGGGGGTTCGTGTTTTGGAGTCTGACTTGCTTCGGCTAAATTGTACGAGGAATCGAGAGTTGCTGGAATTGAGTAATTGTGGTTTTCGCTGGTCTCACTTGTTGTCTGATTTGTCTTCGGAGTTGCTGCTGGCGTAGCGAGTGAACTTGTGGTAATAGTGCAATGTGACTGCTCAACAGCGTATTTGATGCGGATTTGCTGTGCCTACTGCGGATTGCTCATTGTGTGTATATTACTTCAGTTCTCTAACTTTGTGGGGGCTACTTATGCAATATGTGCTTTAGTGAAACAAGTATTCTCCTGCTTTTGTAGCTGATACCAATAGCTATACTTATGCAGTATGTGCTTTAGTGAAACAAGTATTCTTCTGCTTGTAGCTGATACCAATAGCTAAGCTCAAAATTGAGATGTTTAAACTGTTGTGAAGGAGCTTATGTGACCATAGTCGATCATTACCTCTCTTGTAGCAGGGTTCGTATGAGAGGAAACAAATTGCTTATCCACATCGAATCCAACAGAATTTACGCATTCCAAATGAACCCTTATACCTAAATGCAGTTGAATACTGCTGAGACGGCCAAGATATAATCTTAAATCGTATAAGACCAGCTTGCTGAACTAGTCCACTGCTGTCACAAAAGTCATGTGCCAAGCTATTTAATCATTGTTAAAGTTTAACCCTGTTGGCCAGGGGCTGAGCCTCAATGAATGCATGAGATGATTTGCTATATTAAGTGGAAATTGCACGGTAGAAGCTTTTATAAGAGGAAATGGCAAGTGCCAAGTGGTACTGAAATATGCAGGGCTTCTGTTGCAGTACGTTTATATGTACATGTACTCTCAATTTCTTGGAAGTTGGGAGTTCCTTACTTGATAGCACATGGTTTTGGTAGACTCAACATGTGTTTGGTAATCAATAAGTTTTGAGAGAAGGTTTTAACTTCTGTTTGTAAAGTTGATTTTGAGAAATGAAAGAAAATTGTATCTATGCTACCAAATGTGGTATTGGAAAGAATGGGAGGCTGAATTTATGTTCTGTATCAGCAAAAATGCAGACAAATATTTGTAGCTCACTGAATATAACAGTAGTGACAAATGCTTGCACAATAATTGAGTGTATTGGTGTGCTTAGTTCTTCGAATGACATCAGTAATCAGATCTTGAAATAGTGGATATGGAAAAGACACACCAAATTTGCATTTATCGCTTGTTAGAATTTGTTGTATGGTTTTCTAGAGCATTGGTTCAATAGATACAAGAAATTTATGATTAAATACCATGCAGAAATTAGCAGAAACTGACAACCAGCCACTATGTAAATATGTTGTGTCTTATAATTCTAATCTAGATGCACCTTGGCTTACTGGTAACTGCATACAATTTGTCAAAGTGATATTGGAGAATCTAAATTGCATTTGGTGTATAAACGTGCTAAGGTCTCATATAGTATCATGACTTGTGACAGTAACATCTTCCGTTTCCGTAGAATAATCCATTGAAATGTCATAATTTCATAGTTGGAGCATGTATCAGTTATGTACTTGCATCCAAAACAGGTAAACTTGGAGTAAATGAGCTTTCACAGTATTCTGATGGATCAATCCCAGTCTTGTTGTCACATGATAAAGTTTTATCAAGAGGTGGTGAAATGTACCTGGACTATTAGTCTTTTATTATCCTTTCTGATTCAAAGTGAGCATATTAGATGCCAACTTATAGGATTTAATTTCTTTTTCACCTTGAACTTGGAAACAATCCTAGAACACAACCAGTTGCATATCCTAACCTGCCTACAAATAATCTTAGGCTGCGTTCTAAATGGTTTCAGAGTTCTGGGTTGAAGAGTGTACTTCTTCCTATTGTATATTGCTGTGCTTGTAGTCAACTCTTTCTAAAAGTTGTTAAATGGGTTTCGTGCATTTTAACTGTAAGTTCTTAACTAAATGCAGCTGAAAGAATCCTAATAGTTGTGACTTCTGCTTTGTAATTCACCTGTTCTATCCAGTCTCCATAGTATAAAATTTATGTCTTTTAACACTGGGAGCTGATTGAGCTTACATTTTTGGTTCACTCAAAGGTACACTGAGATAAAAGTTCAAGCTGAAAATGATACTTTTGCTCTGCATGCTGACAACATGACGATTAGGAACATATTAGTGGATGGTCAAGCTGCTGAGTTTGAGTATTCTCCTCAGTGGAAAAATGCTGGTGATCAACAGAGTTGGTCTTCAGTATCATGTTCGAAGACTGCTGCTGATGCTGCATGCTCAGTATATATCTCTTCTCTAAATAGTGAAGCTGCACCTAATCTCATCATCTCGTCAGAGAGATCAAGCAAGGCAATAACTGAGCCACAGTACGAAGAAAATGGTGAAAACCACGAAGAAAATGGTGAAAAACATGAAGAAAATGGTGAAAAACAAAATGAAAATGGTGAAAAATGTGAAGAAAATGGTGGGAAACCTGCTCAAATATCTGATGATCAAGCTGTTAATGGCTGCAACGGTTCTGCTGATAAGAAGGACAAAGAAGAGGAAACTGAGAAGGACAATGAAAAAGAAAAGGAGGACAAGGAAGAGGAAACTGAGAAGGACAATGAAAAAGAAAAGGAGGACAAGGAAGAGGAAACTAAGAAGGACAATGAAAAAGAAAAGGAGCAGCTAATGGGAACTGATGAGAAGGAGAAGGAGAAGGAGAAGGAGGATGAGAATGAGGAGGAGAAGTTGGAGGAGGAGGAGAAGAAGGATAAGGAGGAGAAGTTGGAGGAGAAGGAGAAGGAGAATGAAGAGGAAAATGGAAATGAGAAGGACAAGGAAAATGATAATGAAATTGAAAAGGTAAAAATAAGTATGGTTAGTTCATGTTGAGTATCTCTTCCTGTTACATTTTTGGATGCGGTGCCTTACTGTGAATCTTTATAGGTGAAGAACACAAAACTGGTTCACATAGATTATATTTTGGAGAAGGCTGAAACTGGACTTTACTTCACTGGCAACATCTTACATAGTAACAATCAAATAAGGCGTGCACACTGCTGGTTTCCTTGCATTGATAGTGCAACACAGCGCTGTCCGTAAGTGAAAATTCTTGCCTCTCAATTTTGCTTTTATGTTTGCTGGTGCTGGTTAACAATTTTTCTTTGTTTCATGCCATGTCCAGATTTGACCTAGAGTTCACAGTTAGCACGAATCTAGTTGCTGTCAGTAACGGTGACTTGCTTTACCAGGTATGCACTTAATCAAGACTGGTAATGATGCAAACTAAACATATACTATTAAATTCCTCCTAATGGAAAACAAATGCCTTCAACGAGGAAGTATCATATGTCGGCCTTATTCTACCATTGTTATGGCCATGGGCCAAGCCCATGCGGCAAGGTTAGGCAGGATAGGTTAGGAATAATCAAACAAAGTAGGAGATTATCTAGTTAGGAAAGAGATGAGTTATCAGTTATATGTTAATAAATTAGAGATAGAGAGATTGGATTGGTTTCTATAATATTAGAGATTAGTTCCTTAGATGTCTAGTCTCCTCCCTATATATAAATGGACCCCATGTACTCTTACCAATGAAGCAATGAATCTCTGAACCCTAAGCCTCAGAGCCCTGCCTGTGCTATTAGAGGGCGAGTGGATCCACACTGGTCTTTCAGACCCTTACCCTAGCCAGTCCATGACAAGCATGATAATGCTCTTTGATGATATCTCTATGTACTGTTAGAATAGATATATTATACCATTTCACAATGATCAACTGCATGAATGTTTCATTTTTTGATGTTGGCTGACCTTTGTGCTTGCACATTCTGCTGTTGTTGTACTTGTATCATGCAGGTCTTAAGCAAGGAAGATCCTCCAAGAAAAACATATGTGTATAAATTGAGCACTCCAGTTAGTGCACAGTGGATATCTTTGGTTGTTGGTCCATTTGAAGTTCTTCCTGACAGGAATGACATAAGTGTATCACACATGTGCTTATCTCAGAGTTTATCAAAGCTTGAAAATACCATCTCATTTTTCCACAGTGTCTACAGGTGATAACCTAAATTGTCCAAAAAAAAAAAGAAAACTAATGTCTAGATTCAAGTACTAGTATCTGAAAGACCTTTTGTTGCAGCTGTTATGAAGATTATCTTGCTGCATCATTTCCTTTTGGACTATACAAACAGGTTTTTCTTCCACCTGAAATGATAGTATCACCAACAAGCTTAGGAGCTTCCACTTGCATCTTCAATTCAGATATCTTACACGACGAAAAGGTTATAGATCAGGTGCGTGTGTGTTCTTTCTGATTTTTGCCTCTAAAATTCTGCAATAAAGGATAACTTTGTCCCTTTACAATATTTTGACATTCATGGTTAGTTATTACTTTTACTGTTTTTAGAACATTCATGTCAACTATGGTAAATTTTCTTTTCCTGTTTCTTTTGGTTATGAACATGTGTTTCATCTCCTCTTGCTCACTGAGGGCCTGTAAAGTTTTATATGATGTGCAGTTACTGTAACCACTAGAAGTCCTACAAAAATTCTATTTTAACGAGCTTGTGCTCTGCATTTGACAGCATCTGGTGCTTATTAATTTACCTGCTATTTGATCCAAATAAAAACAAATTGAATATGCTTCTTGGAATCCTATGTGTGATGCTTCTGTTGTTTTGTCTTGTATTCTTTTGCATTATTGCTGTATGATATTTTATAAAATGATCATGGTTGCATTGACAGCTCCATAATTAGACTTCAGGTCCTTTTCTTAGTACTGTTCTAACTAACATGTAGAAATAGTTCAGATAATTGACACGAGAATCAAAGTAGCATATGCTCTTGCAAGGCAATGGTTTGGCATATACACAAATGCAGAGGAGGCAACCGATGGTAAGTCAGCTCTGCGGCTCTGCTTATAATATATACCTATAGTATTCGCAACTAGATAAAATGCATCTGACGGTTTAATGTTTTTTTTTTGTGCAGAGTGGTTATTGGATGGTTTGGCTGGTTTTCTCACTGAGCATTTTGTCAAGCGTTATCTTGGCAATAATGAGGCACGATATAGGCGTTTCAAGGTTGGTTTGTATTTTTTGCTAAAGTCAGATTCTTCTTGCCATCAAGTAGTTAGCTTAATTCATACATAAATTATGAATGAGAATATATACTCAATTCTAAGTTTGTACAGGTATATTAGATTAATCAAATCAAAAGGTAGACAAAATAAAACATGATCATTGATTGGAAAATAATTTATAGTTGGATTGGAATATAATATAATTTTCTTTTCCTGCAAATCCCTCAAAGTAAAAGTTGTAGTAATGCTATAATGCTGACGTGTCTAGGTCCATAATGCTAAAATGTTGCCTGAAACGAATGCTATCACATGCTATTTTTGTTATTAGAATATTTTATATAGTTTGTCTTTGTTAGTTCTTGCATTTGTTTATTTATTTATTTATTTATTTATCTGTAAATGTATGTTTATTATTATCATTGATCTGCTGTTACAAACAGTCTATGATAGATCTCATTAGGAGTTGAATTAAGTACATCAGAATAGATATGCCTACTAGTACACACTTCTATTAAGGTATACCTTTTCTGTTGTCTCTGGTACTTTCTACCTGACAAACGGAACAGGAAAAATGGGCATCTTTCATGTTTCTTAGAAGTGCGGTGTCATGTTTAAACAAAATGTTCCTAGTTAATTAGAACACTTAAAAAGAATCTTTCAGTTGTAATTGGTATAGCTATGTGTCATTTCTTTTATTTCTATATCATAATATGTGTAGGATGTTGCTGCTGATTTGACCATATTTACTTTGCTTTTGAAACCAGTGCACGAGAGTTATGTTGCACACAGTTTTGGTGTTGATTCACATATTAACTTGTCATTCACCTTCCAACCAAATTCACTGGCAAATTATGTGTTTGCTTCTTGTCTTGCATTCATTCACCTTAATCTTAACGGTTGGTGTCGGGCGGTAAAAGGGATTTACTGGCACAGTTATTTTTCTTGGAACATTATTTATATCTTAATTTTGTCTTTCCAGCTTGTTAATTATCAATCTGTACTTGTAATAGGCCAATTGCATTGTGTGTGAGTTTGATGTCAGTGGTGCAACTGCTTTGAGCTCTCCTTCAGCTTCAAGTGATTTATTTGGAACTCAAACAATCGGTTCATATGGGAAAATTCGTTCTTTGAAGGCAGTAAGTTTTTGGCCTTTTGAATTACAAGTTTACAGTTGACATAAATGTATTACTCCCTCACTTTTTTTCTTTTAAACAGGTATCTGTTCTTCAAATGTTGGAGAAACAGATGGGGCCAGACTCTTTTCGGAAGGTTAGCAATTGCATCTTCTTTATATGTACTTATTACAATTTGCTGTATTAAATGAATGCAACAGTTTGCTCAAGCAATTGATATTACTTCTGAATGTGTACCTCTAACCTCTTGCGAAGTAATATGTCTATGATACATATGAACAGCTGCAAGAACTACATGACCATTCTTGAACACCATTGGCTGAACTGTAGATGCTAATGCTTTTTATGCATTTTTTTCTTAAGTTTCTTAATGTGGTCTGGTATTCATTTTCTTCATTTTGAGTAAACTATCCCTATCTACATGTACTCTCTGTGTTACGTGTTTTCCTATTGGCCATCTTGTACTTAGCCATGCTGACAGGCTGTAACCATTCCTGATTTCAGATTCTGCAGATGATAGTTGCTCCAACTCGTGCCTCAAGAACACTAAGTACAAAAGAGGTACATCAGTACATGGCTTTCAACTATGCAGTTTTGCAGTGTGCCTTTACTAATTGCATCAATCTGGTTATTTTCTGGTCTTTCCTGCTTGTTCATCATCTTGAGTTAGCTACAAAGTCCCTAGCCCTTTCTTGTATCCATTTTCCTCCGTCATGAAGAAAAACTTTCACAATGAGTGAAGTAATTTGTTATATTCTGCAAATGTTTATGCTGATGCTTCATGGGAAGTTTGGTTTGAGGAATCAAACCTTCCAAGGATGAGTTGGTACTTCTTGGAGGCATCCCACTATTCCATATATTTGCACTACTATCCAAATACCAGTCCATTGCAATGGACTTCAAAGAAGCATATCATATATTCATATGTTGTAAACTCGAAAAGCCCTATACACTATACAATTTTCCAATAGACGTCAATGCACTATTCATCTTATTAGAAGTCACATGTGCAAATGATTTTAGTTATCTGCAAATGATACTACAAACTCAAGAAATGGTGGAGGGTTGACAGACTCACCACCACCAACAACAAAAGCTTCCATTGTATAGTTTATATTATCGAAGAACATGAACTTTTAAAGGATGAGTTGGTGATGGACCAACGTATTCCATTCTTCATAAAAACAAGTGGTGACATTCTGAGTTAGGATGAGATGATCTGTTTGCTGTTCTAATTCCTCTAGTCAAACAGCGAAATAGTCAAATTACTTACCTTGTGCTCCATTTTTGGCAAAAGTTGCTATTATTACTGATATGTGAAAGTAATCACTATCAAGTGCTAATAACTATAGTTTCAATGTTTGGTCTCAATGTGATGGTAAAATGGTCAGGATGTGTAACATTATCTGTTTGGATGTTTTCTACACTGTTATATTATTAGTTTAGTCCTGTATAGTGCAACCACTGTGGTCATCTTTGTTAGCAACTGAGTTTCTTTCTATAAATTTCGTTTATTCAGTTCAGGCATCTTGCAAACAAGGTCGGTAATCTTGAACGGCCATTCCTGAAAGAATTCTTCCCAAGGTGGGTTGAATCTTCTGGATGCCCAGTTATGAGGTAAATGAACCTTCTTAGTGCTTGTTCGTGTTGAGTTTTCCCCTGTACGCTATCTCCATATACTTACTCATATGTGTATTCCTTCTGCTTGTAAAGATTGGGAATCTCCTATAGCAAGAGGAGAAACTTGGTTGAATTAGCTGTTTCACGTGGTTGCACCACAAAAGTTGATCCTGGTCCTGATATTCGCACGAATGGTGATTCTCGAGAAGGTGATACTGGATGGCCAGGAATGATGAGCGTACGTGTCCATGAAACTGATGGAGTGTACGATCATCCAATTGTACCCATGGCTGGTGAAGCTTTGCAGGTGGTGGAAATACAATGTCATTCCAAAGTAGCAGCAAAGCGCTTTCAGAAAACTAAAAAAGGCTCAAAGCCTGATGGTTCTGATGAAAACATAGATGCTTCAAATCAAGATAACCGTGCGAGGTCAGTTTCCAAGTAACTACTTTTTTTTGCCCTGCCATTTCTCACTGGTCACTTATTGCAATTTCTGGGTATTGCAGTATGGATGCACCTTTACTGTGGATCAGAGTGGACCCAGAAATGGAGTATCTCGCTGAGATACATTTTCACCAGCCTGTGCAGATGTGGGTACGTACCACCAGTCCACCACATGAGCTTAATAGAAAGGGGCATTTCTGTTTAAATTGAGTATTTATTATGTACAAATCATATATGGCTATCATGTCATTGGCCACACTAACTTTTCAAGTTCATTGAATAGTTGTGGAGAATACATTTTTGTTGCTTTAACCCATAATCACCAGAAATGCAAACCCCTCACCCACCCCATCCACACACACATTGACAGGGGCTGTCCTCTCCCCTCATCTCCCTATTTATCTTCTCTTTTCTATGCCCTCTCCGTACTTGTTGGAGGAGGAGAAAGATTGACATGAAGGAAATTGCATGGGTGATGGCGACTGCAGGAGATTGTGTGGTGGTTGTGATCAATGGCTTTGTTGCCCTTTGTGGCTTCATGTGGTTGGTTGGCGCATTGTTTTGTACTGGTTGGCTGCTCTCTGTTGATGAACTGGTTGGCAATAATGTGCTGTTTTGTTACTTTCTGACCCTTCTCCTGTTTTCGTTTTCTTTTCCTTCTATTTTTTCTTTTTCAAATATGTTCGGATTACATTATAAGCCATAGCTTTATGATTGGATCAGTGATCGTCAATCCTGATTCAGTGTAATAGCCCCCCGCTTCGCACTGTAGTGTCCCAAAGAAGAGTACCCTCTTTGCTACATTTTGAGCCACCATGACACTACGGTTTGGGCACTATGAAAGTCCTCACAATTCACTCTCAATGCTCTGGGTATTTAGACAGTATTTGGAATGAGATGGGACTTTGCCGTTGGGGTTGTGACACTTGTCTACTTCTGCCATTTTCTGTTCTGTAAAAAACTGTTGACCTGAGCTTGATTTGATGACTGACTATGCATCAGAGGCATACGCTTCCACTGCAGCACTTGCCCAGCCTCTGTTTTACATATTTGTATGACATATATGACGACATTGGGATGTTTTTCCCTTTGGATGATTGATCAATGGTGCAAATTGCCCTCTCATGAAGCCAAATCATCCTAATTATGTCTAGCTTTCGGATGATTGATCACAGGTGCAAATTATACAAATTACTAGATGATACCCCTGTATTGCTGCTGGAACTTGTGTGGAGTCAAATAAGCAATTTGATCAAACGATAGGTGTATAGAATCATACAGATCAAATTGATGATGTGGCCTCACGCCCTCACGCGTCAGCTCCTTTACAGGAGTAACTGCAGTTAGTGGATGAAAATCATACGGAAGTATAGGATATGACGTCAAACTAGCTACAGAGTAATTCACCTGCAGCTTTCCTGCAACACCGCACGGGGTTTTCATCTAGTAATTTAGATGGCATTGCTTTATTTGTGCCCTGAAAAAAATGCATAACATGTCTGTACTACAGTTCCATTTATGTATTTTGCAAATTTTATAGGAAAACGAATTGGTTGACATTTGCACAACTAGAGAACCACTTCTGTGCCTACGTAGATAATTAATTTGTGTTCATTTGCTGGGACACACTATAGTGTAACCATGTAAGTATGTCAGAATGTTTGCTTATACTTTGTGAAACATATAAGATGCATTTTGGACAACTTTCTGCCAGTTGTCTAAGCTTCACGATAATTAGAAATTAAAAACTTATCCTAATATGTGTGTGCGCCTTTTGTTCTGTGTAATCCCAATTTACAACATTCAACTTATTTCAAGTTTTTTATCACTTCGGCAGATCAATCAATTGGAAAAGGACAAAGATGTCATTTCACAATCACAAGCAATATCTGTACTGGAGAAATCACCTCAACTCACTTTTGCTGTGACTAATGCCCTCAATAATTTCTTAAATGATACAAAGGTATTTCAGCATGTTTCTTGAGATCTTGTTGAATATCATTGAGTAACTTGTTAATAATGCTGCAGGCATTTTGGAGAGTTAGAGTTGAAGCAGCATATGCTTTAGCTGTAACTGCATCAGAGGTATGCGTAAGCTTGTTTGTCTTAAACTATTTTTCCAAGGCATTAATATTGTAATTCTGAATATTTGTATATGCATTCAAATTCAATTTAGAAAATTTAGATCAAAAGGTTCCATTTATTACATAGCTGACTGATATTCTCAATTATACATTTTTATTTGTGAGGAAGGTTGAAAGTTTGCGTTTATTCTAAATTTCACCTGAGGCAATCCATGATGTGAAGTTTTTTTACTTAAGTCATATGCCTTTCCCCTTTCACTAGAATCGTCTGTGCAATTGCCAGTAGAGGAACAAGGATGAAATTAAAAAAGATCAAGGATCCAAGCAAAGTTTGAATCTGAAGTAAGATGTAGAAAAACAGAAAGAAATTAAACAATAAAATAATACAACAGAGAATAGAACAAGTAGGTGATGTTTGGGCATTTGCATTCATTTTAACTTCCATACAGGCATACAGCCCTACTTATTTTGCAACATACCCCCATATATATTTTTCATGGTGCCTGGTCACCAAGATCTTGGAGCCCGAGCACCATGGTGCCCCAATTAAATTTGCTATATATAGCACAGTAGGAGTCTCTCCTGCTGTTTTTGGTCTCTCTTCTTCTTCTTCCTTTTTTTTTTTTGCAAACATAGTATCTGGAACCTGGGAATGGGCGCTTACACAACGGAGTTAGTGATTCACACTTGACAATACTGAAGTAGCTTTACATAACCTTTAGGCATGCATGGAAGATTCAAACTGACTTAATGTGTATACAATCTTCTTTCTGTATCTTTCTTTGTTCTCACTAGAAGTTGATGTTTGAGCATATGAATCTGTGTTAGACTGCTCAATAGCACAGAGGAGATGTTTTAATGTTACCACTTTTTTGCACTGATGTGTTACTTATTTAAGTTGTTTTCTTTCATTTAGGGCACAGAACTAACTGGACTGCTTCATCTGGTTAAGTTCTATAAAAGCCGCCGATTTGATGCAGATATTGGATTACCCAGGTCAAGATCCATTCTGCAGTAGCTTATTTTCGCCCACAAATTATCCCTCTTTTATATGTTTGTGTAAACAGCTTCATTCTTGTTTTACTGATAGGCCGAATGACTTCCATGATATTCCGGAGTACTTTGTTCTTGAGGTAATGCTTTGAGGTAGGACTTATATTTGTGATTACCCATGACAAGAAAATCCATTTATGTCAGTATTGCTGACATTTCCGTAGTGCCAGGTTGCTTGTTGACAAGTTTACGTAGGATACAAGTTATTTGGTTTCATCTGTAGGCCACTTTGGATGGGCTAGTGTCCTGCTTGATCTGGGGGACTCAAACTGTACTTAGTTTGCTTCCTTGCTAGTTGGGTTCATCGTTTAAATAAAATTAGGTTGGTATAAGTAATGAGAGAGTGTCTAGAGTTGCGACAAGCAAGGATTTTGAGATAGTCTTCTTTCCTCTAGTTTCCCACCTTTCTTACTCCAGTTCCTCTGTCCCATACTATGGAATTCAAAACTCTTGATATTAGTCCAGTAGGTATTGTTCTAAATGAAATAAAGTTAGTGTTTGTGGTCACTTAATCATAACCATATATGCAAGTGTACTGTCTCTTGCCTGACTTAAATAGACAGTTCAATCCTTACACCTGGACTTAGTCAACTAAACATTTTTAATCCGCAATCCAGCATTACATTATGCATAAACACATTGCTGAAGTGATTTAAAATTGATCTGTGTTGTTCAATAGTGTTTTGATGTTTCTTATGGCAGTGCTGCACTTATGATAATAATTTGTATTTTGCTTGACTTATGTTCCTTCTATTAGGCAATTCCTCATGCAGTAGCTCTTGTTAGATCAGCAGACAAGAGCAGCCCAAAAGAAGCCATTGAATTTATCCTTCAGCTTCTAAAGGTTGCTATTTATCTCTGGTTTGCATTTTATCTGCTTTTTAAATTGTAACTCCGTGTTATACGTTGTCAAAATAGGAAATATTTATTTTTCATCATTTAGGATCTTGTACGTGAATCAATATAATAATTTTGTATTCATTACTTGTAAGTTGTAACCCTTTGTTATATTTATTCAGACATATTAGGAAGTATTTGGTTTTCACCATTTATGATATTCTTGAACACAAATCAATACCCATTGATATAATACTTGAATGTGTGCCGACTAATACATTTGCACATTTTATATTGTTTCAGTATAATGATAACAACGGAAATGTATACTCTGATGTCTACTGGCTATCTGCAATGGTGCAGGCGATAGGTGAATTAGAATTTGGCCAGCAGGTTTGTATGCATGTATATCTTCTGATAGAGTATGAAAAATGTTATGTGGACACCTGTTGTGATGAATTACCTATTTCAATGACTGGAAGCTTGAGCTATCATCTATGCTACATGTGTATTACCTGCTTGACAAGAAAAAAATATTTATACTACTGTAGTAGGAGTACATGGCATGAATAGCTATGGAGTTATGGAAGTACCTGCTAAATGTAAACTATAATGGCAACATACTATTTAAGGATTTTACTAACTGCTGTGCATGTGCCTGAGATATGTGCTTTATCAATTCAATTTTGCAAAAAATGTGTACATTAAAGGTTTCTATTCTATCCATGGCATCACCAAAATAATCAACTCATATAAAGTAGATAATTATGGCCTTATGGTCTTTAAAGCACTGCACCTGTTGTTTCAGACTACAGTTTTTATTCTGCAATTAATAAATTAGAATTATATTCTTATGGTTTATATGGACTATTCTTGTCCTTAAGGTTTTGCTGGGTATTCTTTTTTAGGTGTTGTCAAGTTGTTTTTAAAACAATGGTATCAAAAAATGATGTTCATTTTCTCTGCAGGGTGTAGGTCTATTGTCGTCTCTTCTCAAGCGCATTGATCGGCTCCTGCAATTTGATAAGTTAGTAGAAAATATCCAATTACTACTTTTGACTTAGCTGTCCTTCATTTCTGTCAGTCCTACTAACTGCTAGAAAAAACTTGCAGCTTTATGCCTGGATACAATGGGGTTTTGACTGTCAGCTGCATTCGCACCCTTGCACGTATTGCACAGAGGGTGTCATCTTCCATTTGCCTTGTAAGAACTCTTCCGTTGGCACCATGCTCCTGCATGTGTCTAATAGTTGGTCTGATCTGAATATTTCATTCATATGGTGTAACTTTTTGTCGCTGTAGGATCGCGTCTGTGAACTAATTGTGCCCTATCGCAACATGGACAAACCATGGAAAGTTCGAATGGAAGCTGGCAGGGTTCTTATTGATCTCGAGTTTCACCATAAAGGACTTGATGCAGCTCTTTTATTATTCTTGAAATATGCTAATGAAGAAAGATCTTTGAGAGGTTTGATGAAGATTGCTATGGTACTTCTGGCATATCTTGAATACCTTGATTTCTTTTGACGTTGGAGTTATTGCAGGAGGGACAAAGTTGGCTGTTCATGTCTTGCGTCTATGCCAAGCCAATATTGAATCTCATGATAATAATCAAATACAATTGCCAACTCTAGTTGGCCTCCTTTGCCTGCTTGCTGGCAAAAAGGCCTACAACAATGTATATCTTCGACATAATGTGTTCTGCATATTGCAAATTGCTGCTGGAAGGTTAGAGAAGTTGCTTTATATGTATTTTCCAATTTTCACATGTTCATTTATAACTGCAAACCCTAGCATATAAATTTGCCTTCCTGAAAAGGATCAAGTAAACTGTTTCTATGTATCAAGCATATAAATTAAATTTCTATTGATTATTCTATGTACTTCTACTAGTGCTTAAAGCATATATGATGCATAAAATTTAAAAGATGTGTAACTATCTACAATCAAATAACAAAACGACTTTTTCTTTACTACTACAGCGGTTTTTGTCATATTTTTTTCATCAATACAACATTACAACCCAGGCATTTCATTCTATTGTTTCCAGTTTCTAGATGTCATTCGCAGCATTTCTGTGTTCATATCATGTTTAACTTAGTGTGTTCATGTTTGTTCTGTGTAGCTTTATTATGTATGTCAATGGTCACCATAAAACATAGATACAGTAATTTATATGGCAGCTCATTGTCAATGGCTGCGACGGTAATTAGGTAGAGTAGGATTTTGATGATCTCCGAGATGTATGAGTACCACAATGGGCCCTCTAGATTGTCATGGAATGTAGGCGGGATTTGAACTTCTACTGAAACCTCTCCCTTAAGTAGACCTGTGTTTTGTTGCCTTTATATATTAAACCTCGAGTCCTCAACTACCTAATGTATAAGGAATTGCCAACATTAGCAGATCTGCGTTGTTTGTCAGTGTCCCTTTATGTGACTCCTTTCTGCGGTTGGTCAAATTGTAGGAAAAAAAAATCAGTAGTGTTGCTTGTTGTTTTTTTAGACAAAAAAGAAGATGAGATCAGTAGTGCTTCATCTTCAACATGCAGTTCACTGCCCCGACTGGATATTGCTGTCCCCAAACAATCCTATGTTGTCGAATAACGAATGGTCCAATTAATTTCAGTTTATCACAAACACAAAACATTAAGTCATCAAACATGCCTTGCAACACTGAAATTGGTTTTTACTTATTGTAACTTTTTGTTACACTATGTTATCATTTGTACTTCTATACTAACATGCCATGAGTCTCAGGTCTCCAACACTGCATGGAGTTCCGAAGGTTGTCACTCCACCTCAAGTTGTCCTGGAGATATCTAGTGATCAGCACACTAAAGCTGATTCCTCAGTTCCTCAACAATCAAGGCCTCAAGAACCTTCCACTAGCACTCCTAGTGTCCGTGAAGTCTTACCTACCTCTGGACCCTTAAAAGATGCGGATAATATATCTAACTGCAGTGAGAGAAGGAATGTTATTTTTATACCCACAAAAGATGCGGATAATATATCTAACTGCAGTGAGAGAAGGAATGTTATTTCTATACCCACAAAAGATGCGGATAATATATCTAACTGCAGTGAGAGAAGGAATGTTGTCAAAATAAGGGTTAAACGTGCTTCATCATCCAGTAAAGCAGATGATGCTGATCACAGAGATCATTCACATGGTAGAAATGAAAATGAAGCAGGTCCATGTAGCTCTATGTCAGTGGATGCACCTATGACTGAAGCACCAGAACCAGTAAATGTAAGTAATCATAACATCGAGGAGCAAAACTCATGCCATGATAGGGAACAAAACTCTTGCCACGATAGGGAATCAAGGATGTCAGCAAGCATTGGCAATGTCAAACTAATGGACAAGCATGAAGTATCCAAGGAGCTACAGTGCACAGCCGATTCCAGGCTAGATGCTCTCCCCAAGGATCACTTCTCTCCCGTTGTTAATGGACAGGAAGTCCTAGACAAGCCACGGAGTCAGCTAGAAGTAGTCTCCACAAGCTATGATGGAAATCAAGCCCCAGACTCCATGAATGGATTGGAAACGAAGGAGAAGAAGAAGGACAAGAAAGACAAAAAGCGGCATCGAGATAAGAAAGATGATCCTGAGTATCTGGAGAAAAAACGGCTTAAGAAAGAGAAGAAAAGGATGGAGAAAGAAAAAGGCAAAAAGCAGAAGGAAGGTGAAGGGGTTTCTTCTTCCGAACAGAAGAACACAGCGAAACCTTCAGACTCGCAAGGAACCTCATCGGCAAGGCCACCAGCTCCAATGCGAATTCCTGAACCCAAGATATCAAATGTGGGTACGCCAGTAGATACTACACGGACATTGACAACTACTAAGATTAGGATCAAAGTCAAGCCTCTGCAAAGATAATTTGAAGAGAGTTGGCAGAGAATCATATTGTGCCTGGGTCACCTTTTGTAAGAAATACTGTACAGTAGAGAAAATTCGCGATCTGTAGGGTGTACGATGAGTAGCCAATTTTTAATTGAATGGCTGATGTATCCTGTAGAGAGATCATACTGGCCCAGTAAATTTCTGGGGTAATTGGTGCCAATTTCGAGCATTATTGCTTGTGGTGAAATCATGAGGCCTCATGCTAGCTTGATTTATTTTGTTGTGCTCCTTTTGCTTGTAAGTTTGTTATTAGCTTAGCTATTGTCGGGAAAGGAATGGAGACGAGACATGAATCTTGCCGTTCTGTGGAAATTCTGCCACATCCCAACAGAAAATATATGTGTTGAACCCTTTAGATTAGTTACTATTCCTTAATTTCAATTTTTTGTACTTGAGTTGTATATATATTATTTTGATTGTTTCTGAATGGACGGTGTTATCCTGAAATTTAAATGTCTTATTGCTGAGTATTGTCAATGTGAAAGTTATGTGCCTTTGCTGTTTCAGGATGCAACACAGGTGCTCTAGTTCTATTAAAAAAAAAGGCAATCGGTCTTATTTTTTCGCTTATGTTATGCTTATCAGTTAAAATTTAAATTTTCAATTTTAAATTTAAAGTTGTTGTTAGGGTTTTTTCATTGAAGTTTATTTTTCAGCCTTTGCTTTTAGATCGCTAGAACATGTATATAAATATTTTATTCACAAATTAATTTTTATTTATAAATATGTCGTTTCACTTATTTCTACACCATTTTATGGGGCCAAGTGTGACACCATTTTATGCATACTCAGTGTCCGCGAATGAGTGCTAGACATGTGACCATGCATTGGTTAATACTACTCTCTCCCTATGAGTCTTATAATATGAAATAGAGGGTATACGACAATGTGGTAGTACGCGAGTATCTGATTGATACAGAGAAAGCAAAAGGCACTATCAAAGTGTCTTCTGATGATGACACAATTGACACTCACTACCCCATTTAGTGATCGAACTGTCGTTCTTAGCCATAGATGCACTACCTAGTAACATACATCTAATATACAAAATATATACAATGAATCCACACCATTCGACGCTCTACCCCATTTAGTGATGGAACTGTCGTTCTTAGCCATAGATGCACTACCTAGTAACATACTCCTAATATACAAAATATATACAATGAATCCACACCATTTGACGTGTACGTCGTGCACGCGCGCCGCCTGCCCTGCCAAGCGAGGCGAGGCGCGTGTGTTCTCCCTCTTCTCTCCATCACATGTGCTTCAAGTGGCAAGGAGTGCATCATCCCTTTTAAGGAGGTCCCCTCTCCTAGAATAAGTAAGATAGTACTAAACTCCATATGCATGTCATCCCATGAGGTGGGATTTTATGATTTTCCAGAATTAATCTTCGAGTGGGCTAAGGCCTATCCATTAATTCCAACACCTAATACTCATAAAGACAAATACACACCCCATAAGAATAAAGACAAATACCCAGTATAATACAAATAAGTAAATACTTACAGAGGAACAAATGAAAATGGTCCATATAATTTCCCAATACTTTTTCTTAGGAATGGAGGAATCTCAAATGATTTTGTGCAAAAACTGATAAGTGAAGTGCAGATAAAGGTAGATATTATCCTCCGTGGGCTTGACGCTGACGCGCACACGAGCGGAAGCCCACGGGCCCCCACATCGCTCTCCGCTTCCTCCAGATCACCGCGGCGAGGCCACGTCCACCACCACACACACCAGTCACATCTCCTCCCTCCGCACTCCGCACACGATGGCAATGGAAGCCGGAGCACCGCGGGGAGCCGCCGCCACCACCAGCGGCGGTGGCGGGGGCGCGCCGGAGGCGGGGGCGGAGCTGGGGAGCAGTGGCGCGCCGGTGACGTGGGGGCGGGTGTGGAGGGCGGGGCAGGAGGCGGCGGCGCACGCGCTGCTGCTCTGCTTCACCGCGCTCCTCGCCCTCAAGCTCGACGGCCTCTTCCGCGGCTCGTGGTGGTAAAAGCCGCCCCCCCCCCCCCTGTTCCCCCCCACCCTCTCCCTTCGCTTCATCTAGCCCCGCCCCGCCCGCTAGAAATGCTCTCGCAACCTCGCGTTTGGCAATAATTGGATTGTGCTGGCTCGTTGTGGAATTGCGAGTTAGGAGTAGGTGCGGACGTGTGGTATATTCTATTGGTTATTTGTGCAATCGCTGCGCTTTTTAGTGATGGCGTTTCTTATTTTTTTAGGATATAATTGGATGCGATAGATGCATCGTGCGTATCTGATGGAATCCTAATCTGCATATAGCGCACGTCGTGCCCTTTTTGGTGCGATTCAGTCCTTCAGCTGAGCCACTGAGTGAGGTTATTGTTAACATCCTGTTGGGTTAATTTGTTGTTGTTAGCTGTTGCACATTATCCTGAGCAGGGTATGGAACTATGTTTTGTTTGTTTGTTTTTTTTTTTTTTTTTTTTTTGCCGGGCCCGGCTGAAGAAGGCCGACCAATTCCATCAAGGTTGTGGGAAACAGTTACAAGTTACACATTTATCGACGATGTGATGTCGAAAAACAGGGTCCAGCACTCCCAGCATGTAAAACTAAAAGAGACTATTCATTGTCATTCTTAAACACCCCAAATGGGTATGAACTCTTTGATGTCTTGTAATTGGCCTGCTGTGCGCGACTGGCCATTGAACACCCTTGCATTACGCTGCTTCCAAATTAACCAACAAACCAACATGAAGAGAGTGTCAAATGACTTCCTGTAGCTCGGCTGGAAAAACATCCTTGCCAACATCCACCACGCTCTTGCAGCTCGGCGTTCAGTTCACTGGGAAGCTGAAGAGGAATGCCTATCCAGCCTTTCAATATTCCCCACACCCTGTTAGTGTAAGATCAGGAGACAAAGAGGTGAATGCAGTCCTCATCAGCTACCCCACGTAATTGGAACTATGTTTTTTATACTTGGTTTTGGAGGTTTCCCAAAGTTGTCAAAGTTTACTGCATGCATTTTAGTATGAGAACTATTTGAGAAAGGGAGTAAATTTTGTTTTTGAGAAATGGACACTAATCTGGTGAGTGTGATTTGCCAGAAACCTTTGTGTGTTCTTTGTCTTTTTTTTTTTTTGGGTGCGTGTGTCTCTTTGTATGTGACTGAATCATTGGCTACACAACTTATAGTATTGTGCAACATGGATATGGATGAACCAGTTAGTATGGCACACAGATAGCTCTACAGAGACTGGTATGGCCATTACAGGAAAACTAGGTGGCAAGTGGTCCTCTAAAGTTGGGTCCTGAATAACAATTGCATCTCATTCGTGCTTCATTGACTTGTTATGTGATACATTTGATTCTCTGCATGTTGGGATTGACAGAATGCTTGACCTGCAGGGTGCTATTCACCCCTCTATGGTTGTTCCATGCTGTTATTGCTCGATGTAGATTTTCGTTACCTGCTCCTTCATCACCACAAAGTTGTCAGGTAGATTCACTGCCTACTTTTCATTTTCATACCTTCATAGATTCTGAACTGTATACCTGACTAGCAGAAGGTTAATCGGATTATTAAACTGCACAGATGGCTTCCTGCCATTCCATTGTTGCCACACCATTGCTAGTTGCTTTTGAGCTGCTTCTATGTGTTTATCTGGAAGGTATTGATGGCAAATCCAAAGCTTATTGTGAATTCGTCTACCTTTTAAAGTCAATAGTTATTCACTTGCCATGCAAATGGTTCATTTCATCATTTTCAGGTCATGATGAACCTTTTATTGATTTAAAGCTTGTATTCCTTCCACTATTAGCTTTGGAAATCATTACACTTGTTGACAATTTCAGGTAATCAAACAGTGCTTCAGTGCAAATTTGCATAGGTTCTTACATATGTTTTTGGATATATGCCATATGGAGTTATGGATTATCAAAATGTTGCTTGTAGACATATCATGGCTGATATAATTGGTGTTGGGGAACATAAATTCAGTTCTTACAGAACGGTTGGTGTTCATTGGCCTAAATTTAACATATGAATTGCCTAACTGTACTGAGTACACAGTGCAAAATGATGAAATTATGCACCACAGTTTATTTCTTTTTTAGTTTTGACAAGTAATTTCTAATGTTCACCTCGTACTTCTCCAGGGTTTTAACTTTTGTGACTTCTGATTACCTACTCCCTAGCTAAGTACTATATTGTGATAATGCAATCTGATGAACTTTTCTTTTAGAACAGTTTGATTGTTAGTGATATAGCATGTACATTGTCACTCTGTAGAAATGCTACATCAACTTGAAGCCAGTTTGTGAAAACAGAGTCAGACTTATTTTGAAGAAACATTTGTTATTTTGTCATAAACTGTGCTGTAAAGAAAAGTTCAACTGTTTATTCGTTATAGAGTATACTTTTGTAAATATCGTTATATTTTTTTCTTTTTTAAAACAATATATTATGTATTCTATATAGGATGTGTGGTGCACTAATGCCTGGACATGGAGAGACTATGACAGATGAAGCAATTTGGGAGAGGCTTCCTGTAAGTTATAAGACTACATTGCACTTACAATTCTTTAACTTTCCACCATGTAAAGTGAGAACTTTAGCTCCAATACTGCTAATCAAATTATGTTTTACAGAAGTTATACAATAGATAGTTTTGTGTGGTTGCACTGGAGCCAATTATGGAGCTCCAATCAACTATGCATTATTTTGGTGTTTTATGTACTGTATTTAACCCTGAAGTCGCAACCTTCGCCTGCATGCAATTTTATTCCATATTCTCTGTTCTTTGTTTTCATGTGGGACAAGTTGCATATTCTCTGTTATGTTGTTCAGTGCAATTTAAAATTCAGGGGATACGATACCCTATCAATACACATTGACCAGATATAATATTATATCATAGCAATTTTTTTAGACCATAGGCCTAACAGCCTACTTTTATAGAAAAGCACTAAAGGGTAACAGAGTATTCAACGGGTTGCCAGTTTTACAAGTTCGCACACGAGACAGTTCAGTTAGAGCTCTAATAAAGCCAGCAAAATGAGGGTCTTTTGTTTGTTTTATTGTTTCCTACTACAAGGAACAGCCATCATAGAGCATCACACCTAACAGCCATCAAAGAGATCTATAGTTGTACCAATGTGCTATCTGACTTGCTATTGTGTATTTATATACTGCATAATTGAGTTTATGAGTATATGGAGCTGTAAATCTGTAAAATATACAAAGACCCTTGCTACAATAAAATCTTTGATATAGTAACAAGGGACATCATTGCTTTGAACTCTTTACAGATGAGAACTAGATTAATCTTATACAAACTTAAGCTGCATGTAGTCATTACTAACGACTTCCTATTTTTCTTAGCACTTCTGGGTTGCCATTTCCATGGTATTTCTACTAGCGGCTACTTCACTCATGCTTCTTAAGTTGTGTGGTAAGCATGCTTGTTCTCGTGGAGATATTCCTGAACCTTGTCACTGGCCTAATATATGCCGTTCTCCTTTGCATGAAATTAGCTGTTTTTTGTTTTCCGCACTATAGAGTTTTTGAGGACTAACATGTTTATAGAAATGAGTAGGCATAACCAACCTAAAGTAGGAACATCGAAACTCTTACTCATAACTCATGCGTCAGAGTTCCATGTAGAAGCTTTTCATAATCAGGTTATATTTTGTGCTACAGGAGATGCAGTTACTCTGGGGTGGTGGGATTTATTCATTAATTTTGGGTAATATTCTCTCCTTTTAAAATTAGGCTTGTAACCCCAAGGAATAATCCTTTGATTTCTTCTTGACATTTCTTTACAGGATTTCGCAGTGCTTTGGCTTTCTTGTCTGCACGAGATGGTCTAATCCAATGGTATACCAATAAATTGGATTTTTGTCTTAGATGAACAGAGACTGATACTGGAACAACAGTGTTCCATTTTACTCCAAAAGGGATACTGATTTAGACAAGCTATCTGCAGGACATTGGTGGCCCTATATTAATAATTCCTATTGTAATTTTTCAAGTTCTTCTGTGTATGCGCCTAGAGGTCTGTTGAACTCAATTTACTAAATAATGTTCTTTCCTTCAAAATTGTTTGGCAGACCCTGCTTTGCTATCCATTTTCCTGTTTCTGTGTTGATATATCATTAGTTCACAGCTTTTAGTCTAACTGACCATTGTTTTCTCTGGATCCTTTGCAGGGCACTCCATCTAACGCAAAATTTTTCCCACTCCGAGCTGTTTTCTTACCTATACTTTTGCTTCAAGTGACTACTGTATCGTTTGCTATTTGGATATTCTTTGAAAGGCTTGTTACAAAATTACGAGCTAAAAAGATCACTGACGGATATATTTCTTTCTCATCAAAGATTGATGAATTGTTTATGATGATGCAACATGGTTCAAGGTTTTATTGCTATCCAGTATCACTTTAGTAGTTCAGGGCTCAGGCCAATTGCACATCTATTACAATACATAAAAGCTGGACATGGAATTCTCATTTGATGATTTTATTGCTGGGCAGGCTCATCGCTTGGTGGTCTATTGATGAAGATAGCAAAGAGGAGCAAGCTCATTTATGCTATGCAAATAATTCTGGGTAGGCTCTTCTAAATTTTTCCTAATTGCATCTTGCTTACGCTTATCATGACAGTACCCATATTCTTTCTTGACAGACATTTTTGTCGTTTCTTGAATGCTGTTGTTACTACTAGAAAGTGTAGGTTCTTGAAACTCAGTCTACCAAAAATTTTGAAGATTAGGAAGGAAACTATCAGCTTACTGAGGCTAGCCAAAAGTTGCTGTGGTGATGAATTGCAGCACATTCTAACTGTGCTCTGCTGAATAACAATCCCCCAACCACGGGACTCATCCACATGTTGCTGATAAAACTCTAGGCTAGTATGGAATTTTTTAATTATTTAAACCATTTTATTTTAATATTTTATAAATAAATTCTCTAAAATTTTATTTTTATAAATGAACCTTTTGGCCATGCCAGTTTTTACTGGCGTGACGTCCGAATACTGTCACGACATCTTCGCGGGTGTGATAGCGCTGCCAGCGTGGCATGAATGACATCAACAAGCTGCCACGCCATGGATGTTGGTGTGGCTGGTGCATGTTGCAACGCCTAGAGTGTTGGTGTGACGAACCTTGAGTTGGCTGGGACAACTTGCTGAGAGTGCAGCTCATAAAAATGTCTCATAAAAAGATGTGCAGCTCTTGTTTGCATTAACAAAATAGATCGCAACTTGCATGAAGATCCTAATGTTATAAGTAACTGAATTATATTAGTTGTGATTCACTCCACAAGATAGCACTTACAAAACTATGAATCAGCGTAGTACAGATGATTACCAAATCCATTCCAAAACTCAAAAAAGTGATTATCAAACAATCTGAACACACTACCATGACGACGGAATTCCATTCATGGCGATAGGAAACCACCAAATTAAGAAAATATAGAACATTGTTATTTTGTAGATTAGTGTGGATATCTGTTTTATATATGTTGTGCATGCAGGGATATTGGGACTTGCCGTCCACATTATACGTGCATGTAAATAGTAACTTTGTATAATTGTGTATTAGTGCAATCTTGTCATTAACTAATTACGCATAGACCAAACAATGCATCAGGGGTTCACGCCAGCCAACGCCTAGTCTCGTCACACCAATGCTGTAGGCGTTGCAACATGCACCAGTCACGCCAACATCACTGGTGTGGCAGCTTTGCTGATGTGGCACTCATGCCGCGCTGGCTAGTGCTGTCACGCCAATAAGGATGGCGTGGCAGTATTTAGACGCCACGCCAATATTACTGGCGTGGCTAAAAGGTTCATTTTTAAAAATAAAATTGTAAAGAGTTTATTTTTAAAATATTAAAATAAAATGGTTTAAATAATAAAAAAAGTTCGTAGTATGCTACACACTTGCTTCTTCTGAGGACCATAGTTCCCTCCTGGACTGCCCAAAGGATCTTATCGTGGGATGTACTATGAATAGCTAGAGAACATAAGATGTTTGAGTCCAATGCTATATGGACACATGAAGTAAACTACCAACTCAACATCATGTTAACATCTATTTTGCCATATTGGTTTTGTGTTTCTTTCTTCGTTTGGTAGGGCAATGGGCTCAAATATTCCAGGAAATAACATCGTGGGGAAACAGATGGTTTTTGTCTCAGAGATTGAAGAGAAAAATGGCAAGAGTAAAGTTTAGAAGAACTTGTCATGTAGATCCGCATTAATCAAATTTGGGAGATCCCACATAACGTCAACTGCTCCAAAATATAGAAAGACTACTAAACTAAAACAAGTTTCTAGATACAACACAGTTTAATGTTAACCTTCCAGAGTTGCTAGGTCTTTCTTCATTACGAAAAAGTAACTTTTTTTGCATTTGCATTTAAAAGTACTGTGTACTTCAGTAACAAGGTAGCTTATCATTCATCATTCAACAAGCTATGCTTATCGCTTTAGATTAGAAGCACTAAGATAGGTAATCACTCAGGAATCAACAAGGTATGCCAATTACATTGGACGCACTGCAAATGCTTCCACGGTAGCTGAATTGTTTTATTACTTGGTCTTATCCATGCAGGTATAGTACCTTTTGCAGCTATCCACCAGAGATGGTAAAAGAGATGCCGAAGAAAGTTCTTGTCAAAGAGGTTGTTTTACTGTACATACAGTAACAGTTTCTTTATTTGCATTGGGCTAATTAACCACTTGCACTTTCAGGTACAGAGACTTCAATTAGCTTTGGGGGAGCAAACCAAAATGGCTAAGCTTAGTCAACAGCAGTGTGATAAGCTAAAAAATGTACTACTCATTTCCATTCTCACTTCTCAGACAAAGCATTCTACAATGTCCAATTTCAAATAGAGTGATACACAAGGCTCTAGGTTGATTTGGTTCTGTGCTGCACCTATATAATATTATTTCTAGTATTGCAGTTTGGAGTTTATTTTCTTTTAATATTGAATCATTATCATGAGTGGTAGGCTGTTAAATCTCATCCATAAAAGAGTTGATGTGCTTTTTCGATTTCAATTACTTTTAACAAGAACCTTTTTCTATATAAATACAGGAACAGATCCTATGTCGGATATGCTTTGAGAGAGACATTTGCATAGTTCTGCTTCCATGCCGCCATTATGTTCTTTGCGAGTAAGCTTCTTTGGCAATCACTGATTCATGTATGTTTCACATGTTATGTCGTCTGAAGCTTGCAAGGTGTATATATTTATGTATTATTGCAAGTTGCTACATGTTGGGTGTGTTTCTGTTTAACTGCAAGTGGAATTCTAAAGTTCTTTTTGTTGGCCCTGCAGAGCGTGCTCTGATAAGTGCCGGTCATGCCCAATTTGTCGAGTGAGTATTGAGAACAAGCTACCTGTTTGTGATGCTATGAGTTCAGCTGATTCAATAAGTGATACAGTCTAGATGTTCACATGTCGACCACAGTTCTAGGAATTTATGTTACCTACTTCTCGAGCCAGCGAAGATGACCACAGAGAGGAAGACAAATTGTTTTGGCTATGGAATTCAAAGGAATGCTAGAATAAGTCTTTTGTGTCAGAGTAGGGTACAAGAAAATCAGAAGGCTTGCTCGCTAACCCACACATAACCCTGAGTGATATGACACAAAGGAAGCAAAAGAAGCGTGCGAGTTCTTGGAATCTTTTCTTGCATATGGTGCCAACATGAAAATCCACTTAAATCATTGAATTCTGAGGCACAATTCGCTAGTTCGGATGTTTGGTTTCCCATGTAAGGAATCTTACCAACTGAGGGCACAGTTAAGAAAAATCTTGTGCAGCAGGAACTTCAGATTGCTCCAGTTTCATGATTCATGGGTATATAAATTTGTGCAGCTCAGAGACCAAATGTTCTGAATCTGCATCAGTGCGCATACTTAGAAAAAGGACAATATGCTCTTATCTGCTCAATCGTATCTCCAATGATTAAGTTGAAGCATGAGGTTTCTCCTGGTCTTGTCAAATGATGAGGGCAACTACCGGTTGCGCATGTCAAATACACCATATGTGCACTTTTATGCTGTATATACTGGAAAGATCACCCTTGCCGTACGAGGATTCAGCTTACAAGGTCAACATTTGTGGCTACAGCCTTTTCGTTTCTTTGGTCACGTTGCTATGATTTGCCATGCCCTGTGGCCTGCAATGATCTACCTCTTGTGGAGGGCATGCTGCCTCACATCACATGGACATCCAATCCAATACCTGTATGCATGGTGCAAAATGCTTGCCAAGAAGTTGCCAGGTGCATGCGTGCTTGCTCCGGGTGACACAAGATGTCACCCCCCCATTTTTTTCCCCTCTTTTTTAGTCCTTATCCATGTTGCTTTCATGTATGTGTAGGCCTCCTTTCTTCGTTGCTGTAGACCTTTGCTTTTGCCTTTTGGCTATCCTTTGTGTAATGGATCATATACAGAATTGTGACGGCAAGAATTTTGGCAGCATCGATCAACCTGTGGACTGATCTGTTCTGCTGAGCATTCAGCCACACATGTCCATTTTTGTTTAGGCAAGAGAAATTTGTTTTGGGAAAATATTCTCAAGATGCCCCAGCCCAGTGAATATATGTTATTCTTGAATTAATCAATTGATAAATCTGGCTATGTAGAGGATATCCTAAATCTATTCAGCTGCTTCTGCGCTGTGTCAAGCTTGACAATCTCTTGTCTGAAAAGTCAAACTCCTGTCTTTTCTGAGACAAATCTGATTAATACATTTTGGGGGTGAGCAACCCATTGGCGACCGACAAGGAAAGGAGGTGAATGATCTAATCAGCCTTCACTGTTTGCTCATCTCGTTTGACAGTTGACACAGATGTGTTGTTATTTTCTCCTATGCGAAAGTCTCTCCAATCATCAGCAAATGTCGCTCAAGAACATGTGCACAGCGCAATAGACAATTTTACTTTCATCAACAGTCTCTTCGTTAATTATATCCACATTAATTGGTCATAAAATGCTCCATACTTTTCTTTACTTAAGGACGTTTTAGACATAGATACATGTGCTATGTTCCACTCCATACTTTTTCTAACAATGTGAAAATATTTTTATGGTAAATTTATTACCATCGTTTTTAAATAAAACCTTGATATTTTTACATATATTAATAATTTAAGATTTTAATGTTCGACTACATGTATCACATATATGTGACGTCATCTACTACTTAGAAACAGAGATAGTAACGACGTAAATATGTGCGCTAGAAGATAGACTTCTATGTGATATTGTAATTCTCTTAAGTAACTCCTGTTTCCTAGCAACGATAATAGAAATCTAGTATATTAGTATCAAATTACGCTATATTTTAGAGGCCATCGATTTTATTTTGTCTGAACTATTTGATCCTGTATAGATATCTTATCCAAATGAAAGGGAAAATTATTCAGCCCGTCATTTCCTAGCTATCTGCTGAACAGATCCCTGTGATCAGCACCTAACATTTCGACAGTTTGTGTCGGAGAAAAATGCCCAAATCGTCCAGGCGTGGTGGATGAAAAGCTTAATTAGGTAGCCATCAGATTTGCTCATAGACGACAGGTGTATACAGATTTCGATTCTTCCCTTTTATGGGGATCGGACGCGTCGAAGACGGATTCAGAGAACGAGATCGTGCACTGCATTTTGCTACATTGCGTGTGTCGTCGTTGCAGAGACGATGCATCGCATGTAGTTACGATTTCACATCATATATCATGCAAAAAATGCGAAAGCTACAAGACGGTACTACGCCCTCACCGCGTGTTTGCCCGTGAGTGGATCAAATAGGAGAGGATCACTGAGCTGAAAAAAAATTCCATATAGAAATGATGTCTGGAGATCGAATGAGCGCATGCGTAGTGTCTGGAGAAAACTTCAGATATATATCAGAGTTTGTGTGGAGTTGATGGTAGTTAAGTTGATATATCCTCGCATCCTTTTTAAAGGGAAAATGAAGATCAGCTAGCTATAGATATCATGCATGAACTCTCCCAAACTAGCAACAGTATCCTTCTTTAATTAACTAGCCAGCTACTGTGTTAGCTAGATCGATGAACCAGCTGCCATTTTAATTTGGAGATCAAACTGTAGGCAGCTTCAGGCAGGCGTGTGACCGATCGACGGTGGAGATCGATCGAGCAGGTCACAAATCAAGAGGCGATCGACCCATTAAGAAGTGGTCACTGACCAAATCCAACTCCATTAGGTAATTTCTGTACTTTGCACTTCCTAAATCCTACTCCATCCGTCCTATAATATTGAGTTTGATGAGACCGTCTGCCCAGATCTATTGTACTAGAATGTGTAACATCCACCCAAAATCCCTTATATTATGAGACGAAGGGAATAGCAACTAATTAAGTCCTAGTTTTATTTTATTTTTTTTAGAAATGCATGTTTCTATACACATATGCTACCCAGCAACTCTGAAATATACTCTTTATAACAACTAGTACTAAATCTAAAATTAAGACCGATGAGAAAAGATGAACAATTTATCAATGATCGATATCGTCGATGGTGGCACGTGTGCACACACTGGTGGCCGCACGTACGATCGATCGCACACGTGGCGGCCGGCACGCATGAACTCATGCATCATAATATATTAGCCACTTTTTGGGCTGATGATGATCTTCTCCACACACTTGCAGAAGCCTAGCTAGCCGCGGATATATCTATATATCTATATATATGTGTGTAAGCACGCACACAAGGTATGGTGCGTGTACTGTTCATACGCATGCATCTCGCTTTACGCACGTTTGATGCAGGCCAAGATTATGTGGACGAGAGAGAGAGAGAGATGTATAGCTTAGCTAGGAGTAGCTAGTAGCCTCTCTCTGGTCTTAGTAGGCCTGTAGGTGTAGCTAGGTAGCTAGCTGCTGCTAGCTCTAGCTCTAAACGTTTGAGAGAGGTGTGTGTAGTGGCGAGAGGTTGAAGAAGAAGGCAGCAATGGCGGCATGCAGAAACGGAAAGACAAGGTCGAGAAGCAACGACCATCACCCGGCCGAAAGGTCGTCACTCACTCACTATATAGCTAGTACTATACATCGTCGATGTTATCATCATGCATGTTCTATATATCTCTTTTTGCTGTTTGCTACTCCCTTCGTTTCATATTATAAGTTGTTTGTGTTTTTTTAAGTCAAACTTTGTAAAATTTGATTAGTTTTGTAGAAAAATATTAATATTTTTAATACAAAATAAACATATTATCAAAATATATTCAATTTAAATTTAATGAAACTAGTTTGATGTTGTAAATGTTGCTCAATTTTTCTATAAACTTGGTTAAATCAAAATAATTTTGATTAAACGACTCATAATATAAAACGGATAGAGTACTTTTTTTTGGCTACATATACATTGCTACTCGTTTGCATATATACTTCCTTCATCCAAAAGTCTTAATCATTATTTTTTTCTTTTGTTTAGTTAATTTCAAGATAGATATATTTATAATCTTCATACATCCAATACTTAAATGAAAATGTTGTTATTTTGATTTAAAATTTTAGATTAAATTATTGACCGGAACCTAAACAGCCATCTTAATACTCATATATTACATGCATGCATATAGTCATAAGCTTCGTTACATACAAAATGAATTATTTTTTCTTGGTCTTGATGACAAAAGAAAGAGATTTGCTCCGGACCAATAAAATATATCTCGAGGTACGATTTAGTACCGTGAGGTAACCGATACCTCGAGATACTTTTTGGTTTTTGCTAAACCGGAGCAAATCTCTAAAAGACGCGAATATTAGAGAATGACATAATATATTAAATAATTAGAAGGGGTGAGGCTTCAAACCCAGGTCGTATAGCCTACCACCTTGTGGAGCTAGCTGGAAGATCCGGGCGTTTCTCAAATCTCTAAAAGAAATACACCTTAAACTTTTGCATGGAAGGAGTATCATCATCACGCATATAATCGAGTGCACGATCGAAGCACGTGGGGTATTTATACGTAGAGTGTTCTCTACGTATATATTTAATTATATGCACACTAGTATATATGCGTACGTACGTACGTGTACGTATATACGAAGGACGACGATGCACATTAATTTGAAGTGGTTGATTAATTAATTAAGCCAGCTACCTGGTGTACGTGAGCTATATATGGATCGAATAAGATGCACACAAATGCATATATGTGCACTGAAGCTAGAGCTAGAGACGCTTGTGCATATGCAGAAGATGACAGCGAGATCACGACGACGAGAGAGAGACCACAGATTGATCAGATCCAATCTACAGGGACACCCAAAAACATAGATATGCATAAACTAATGCGCCTTGGTCGGAGGCCATACATGCATGGGTCGCAGCTGACGTCTAGAATCTCGTCTCCGGCCGGGGGAGAGGGAGGCCCCGGCCGCGGCCGTCAAATGGGCGCAGCGTACGGCCATGTCGTCGTACGTCGTCGATCTCTCGGGCCACAGGCCATGCACACAGCCGCCTGCATCTGCATCTGCAACTGCATGCATGCGTGACCCTGCACAATCAGCAGAGATCGACCGGTCCAACGCCATGAAACCACCTGCCCGGTGGGATTGGTCGCGTGGGGCCCCACATGGACCGCGCGTGAGAGCTGCAGGGGAGAAGGGGCCGGCGGCGGCGGCGGTCTCGCCGGCCGGCGGCCGACTCGTCCTTTCGATCGATCCCCTGACCATATGGGCGAGCTGATTATTGCACGACGACGTGTGCAGCCTAGCTGATGCCAAACGATGATGCCGGTTAAGTTGATTGATCGAGATGTCAGGGATGGAAATTAATCTCACCGGAAAATTACGCAGAGGGTCGATCGAATCTCATTGAATAACATGTACTCAATAAGTATATATTTCGGAGTGCTTAATTAACTACTCCCTCCATCCCAAAATATAACAACTTTTAGCCTTTAGAATTTGTCCGAAAATATAATAACTTTTTCACCAACATTTTCTTCTCAACCTATCACAACCCTCCACTATTCAATTTTTCCACCCACCTTCACTTCTCAACCAATCACAATCTTCCACCACTTAATTCTAACTACTTTCTTAAAAATCGTATCTAACTCTAAAACTTCTTATATTATGGGATGGAGGTAGCATTCACTTGATAGAAAATTGATACTTACTAGAGGAAAAAATTTGGAAGAGAAAGTCCGAAAAGTAGGGAAATCCTTTTTTTATTATAAAAATAAGAGTATATATTGCCCCAGTTTAATAAGAGAAAACCAAGCGCTAAAAACTTTACAACTACACAGTTATTTAAATGGAAATCGGTAAAAAAAAAACCTCAACGGAGTGAACAACAAGACAACTGCATGCCTAGGGCAAGCACATCCGCACAAACTCAACGAAACGATTGCTAGAGAAAATTTACAAATTAGTATTTGAGTATTCGATGTAAGTTGCCTTATACTTTTTTCACCTCATCTTGTCCATCTCTAACACCCACGCAACTTCGGCAGACCCTACAAGCGAGGTCGACCCATGGGTACAACAATCCTTAACCAAGGTAGGTAAGGATTACCGTAGGTCGGTCTACCACACTCATCCCTATATATGAGGGTAGAATTGGAGCTTATTCAAGACCAAATTGGGTTATCCCCCCTCCTCGTCTCCCGGTATTAGAGAAATTACATCAGATCGAGTCTCTTAGAACTTACACACATTAGCCTCCAGCCCTCCCTCAGGATTATATTATTTGAGCCTCAACCACTATAGGAAGGTGATCATGAGGTGGCAGTCCCCAGTGGTTAGGTTTTAAGGTTGAGGAGGATGTATAGTGATCGGGTAAAAGGGATTGGAGGAGCATGTATAGTGATCGTCGTTGATGAAGAATTGAAAAGTGGGGTTGAAGCACTAGATGAGAGGAAGATGGCGGAGGGCTGAAGAATTAAGTATTACTACTTGAGAGAAAATTATTGGATGAAATCTACAAAAAATTAATATTTCAACACTCAATTGAGTTTCTTTAATATTTTTGCGCATGGTCTCCTTCGACTCGATCTATCGCCATGCAACTTCAACAAGCCCTGCTTGACAACCCATGAGTACAACAATCCTTAACCAAGGTATAGGTAATGATTACCTGTATGTCAGTCCATAATCATCCCTACCTATGAGGGTAGATCTGGAGCTTATTGGAGACCAAACAGGATTATGCCCCCAGCTTTTGACAAATTACATTGGAGTCCTCTAATTCTATGCATTATCCCTCTAGTGTAAAACATAATTGTATAATAGCCCCTGCTTTAAACACTTTAGGAGCATGCATAGTGATCGGTGTTGATGAAGAACTAAAAAATGAAGTTAAAGCACTAGATGAGAGGAACATAGCAGAGGGCCAGAGGAGCGAAGAATTATAGGCAATAGTGTTGATGAGAGGGGTAGCAAATGTAGCAGGGCATGGGGCCCTCTAGTGATGAGGCAACATTGTTAGGAGAAGTCGCGGCATGGGCACAGACGGTAGATGATTGGAGGTGGATGAGGAGTTTGGTGGGTCTTTTCAAGAGGTAGAAGACAATGATGTATAAGTATATTACTGAGACAAATTTGTACCATTAGATTGACTATCTAACAATAAATTGAAGAAATAAGATAAAATATAAGGTAAAAGTTCATCGTGAAAAGAGGGCTCGCCAAAATGTTACCTTGCAACTCAAACTATACATGAACATATATAGCTCTCTGGGCCCCTCTCCGGCCTTCTCCATCTTTAGAGTTCTCGGTGATGATGAGGCGAAATGACTCATCTGATATGCTCTATTAAGATTTTAGGGTTTCTTTTTTCGAACAAAGTCTTTGGAGGATTAACTATATTTGCTAGTTTATAGAGTTAGATTCTTCTAGTGTCTTGATTTTTTTTAAAAAAAAATCCATATGTTCATCAGAAGATATTCTTGTGTTGGTGAGATCAACGATAAAGATTATCTATATATGGAGTTACCGATGATCTAATTGGCGGCACCGATTGCAGATTCCATGGCTCTCAACTTTGTTCAGTGATACCGGCCGGCTTAATGATTTCCTAGAGAAACTAATATATAGCGGATGCTTATTCATATACTTTTTCATCGCACATTATGTCGTAGATGTGGAGCCTATTCGAGTTGCATTGGCAGGTTTTATCATCTCTTTCTTATAACTTATAACAACATGTTGTATTTTATTTTCTTATTTAATATAATCTACATTGTTTCGTAAAAAATAATAAACTAAAAAATGCCTATATAGCATATTATTTTCTTGTATAAAATGAATAACTAGGTTTCTGCGCGCCTGCCATTTCAACTATTACATGCATGCACAGCTTCCTGTTTAGCAGGCATGCTTGCAGGGGCAGTGCAGTGCGTCGTAGGAAGAAATTAAAAAATGTCACATGCATGCCTGTGGTCATATATCTATATATTTAGAAGTACAAAGTCTGGTCCTTTTAGTACGTACTACAACTTGGACATGCATGCAAATATATGAACTGCATACATATATATATATATATATACCGGGATTTGCGGTGGTATATATACACAATCACACTGGAAGCTAGATATATATAAGTATATGTAGCTAGCTTAAGATATATACTGTGTCTCACCTAACGACATGATGAGGCCAAAGTGGAAAACAATATACCTTTGTTAGAAAGAAACTTTTTAAAATGTGAGACCAACACTTCAAAGCACAATAATCTATTTAATTTGCTGTCTCGCTTGAGAGCTCTTGTAAACCACAACTAAATTAATTTTGTTCTGTCAATAAGATTCTTGAGAACGGTGTTTCAAATCTGAAAATTTTAAATTAATCCTCAATTCAAGTATTTGCAGACCACACTTGACTAGATATATTGTGCATCAGACTATTAGTTGCAAGCTAGTAATAAATTATGTTCCAACACAAACTCTAGGGTATACAAGTACTCCCTCCATCCCAAAATGTTTGACGCCATTAACTTTTTTAAAAATGTTTGACCGTTAGTCTTATTCAAAAAATTTAAGTAATTATTAATTCTTTTTCTATCGCTTGATTTATTGTTAAATATACTTTTATGCATACATATAGTTTTACATATTTCACAAAAGTTTTTGAATAAGACGAACGGTCAAACATGTTTAAAAAAGTCAACGGCGTCAAACATCTAGGGAAGGAGGGAGTATATACTAAAGGCCGGCATATACAATAGTCATTAATAGTAGTGGGCCCTTAGTCATGCTAGTTAGGTTTGCTGACATGGCAGAAAGAGAAGAGACAGACATTGTTATCACGGTTAACAATGGCTTAACAGCGACTCTCAGCTTCTATAAAATGAAAACTTTGATGTATGCGGGTGGAAAAAAAAGAGTAGTAATAGAAGTTTTATGGGTTAATGCTTAGGGTCACTATTGTTTTAACTATTGTAATGGCGCGTTCTCTAAATAATCGTGTATTGTCTAAGAACTCATATCAAGGTCTACCTTTGAACATACCCTAACCATCTCTCGTATGTCTTCTAAACTATGTTTGGGGAGTTTAATTTCTAGCAGTTACAGTTTCTTCAAGATCTTTAGCTCCCCAAATAGCCATATTCCCAACTAGATTCTAAGAATCTATAGCGATATACATAATTCAGGAAATTAATTAGAAACCAGAAGCTTGAAAATCTAACCTTTTCATATTCTCAAAAACTGATATCAACCAGTTATTTCTCATAATCATAAGCTCTCCAGTCATGGAAATGATATGAAAAAGTGTGATATATATGCCTTCTTATATATATCACGGTGTATATACGTACGTACACTTCCACGTACGTTTATACACATATACGTATATACATGTAACTGCAAGAGCAAACATACGTCCACGCCTGCGTGACCACGTGTCCCAACAGTGCATCGCTGTAGCCCTCGGTCGATCCACAATAATGCCTTCATCATTCCATTCCTAACTCTCCATACCACGAACACACCAACACACACATGTACACACACCAGCTACCAGCAGCAGCTGGTGCTAATATATAGCTACTCCACTAGTTTACTCCATAGCTCGATCGATCTCTCGTAGCTTGTAACCCCCCCAATTAAGCTGCAGTGACGCAAACAGTTGGTTTGTCCGGCGTCGACTCCGGCCATTGCTCCTCATCGATCACTGATATATCGATCTCTGAAGCAAAAAAATCACTGCCAAAAACAAACAAACCCTTGTGGTCAGAGAGAGAGAGAGAGAGATGGTGATGTCTAGTACTAGTAATACCTAAAGCTCACTCTCTCAGTACTCATCTTTCAGCTTCCTGTGCTGCTTAGCTCCTTTCCTTTCCCCTTTCCTCTCCAACCTTTTCTTTCCCCTCTCCTTAAGCTTCGATGCACACATCACCATCTTGATCGATCTCATCATCACCTGATCACTAGCTAGTAGTGCTAGTAGCTATAGTTCTCATGTGAAGAGAGGAAGAACAGAGGAGGAGATCGAGAGGAAGAAGAAGAAGAAGAAGAAGAAGAAGAAGAAGAAGAAGAAGAAGAAGAAGATAGTGGCTGTGGCTGCAAGCCTGCAACAGTAGTACTAGAACTATAGATCTCACTCCCAGTAGGAAGCTATAGTACACAAAGTGAGTGCAAAGTAGTGATACACAAAATGTTGCCTTACTTTCCTAACCTTCACCATTTCTGCATCTCCCAAGAAGCCCAGCCGCCACCGCCTCCAAACCCTACGACCACCATGCAGCAGCAGCTGGATCAGCAGCAGCAGCAGCAGCAGCATCAGTACGACCACTTCTTCTCCGGCCACGGCCAGTTCAACTCCGAGACGCTGGAGGCCGTGCTCTGCAGGCCGCCGCGCGGCGCCGCCGCGGATCCTGCTGTTCCGGCGGCGGCGGCGGCGGCGGCTGTTCTGACGGCGGCAAGAAACGGTGGCGGCGGCCATGGCAGGGCGAGGAAGCGGCCGTTCAGGACGGACCGGCACAGCAAGATCCGGACGGCGCAGGGGGTGCGCGACCGCCGGATGCGGCTGTCGCTCGACGTCGCGCGCGACTTCTTCGCGCTGCAGGACCGCCTCGGCTTCGACAAGGCCAGCAAGACGGTGGACTGGCTGCTCACCCAGTCCAAGCCGGCCATCGACCGCCTCGCCGCCGACCCCTCCTCCTCCTCCCACCGCGCCGCCGGCGACACCCGCATGTCGTCGGCCGAGCGCGGCGGCGATCACCACATGGTCGCGGTCGGCGCCGCCGGATCAGGGAAAGGAGACGCGGACAAGGCGAGGGGCCCCAGAGGTGGTAGATCGGCGCCCATGGAGCTCGGCTGCGAGCTCGGCCGCCTCGTGCCGGCGCCGGTGCTCGGCGAGTACTACTACGAGCTCGCCGAGATGATGAGCAACAACACCGGAGGAGAAGGAGACGACGACGGCGACTACGACGACGACGGCGATTTCTTGGACGGTATGCAATATTAGCTTCAGCTAGCTTAGCTTGCTTGCTTGCATGGTTTCTCCTCTAGCTAGTAGCAGCTTAATTAGCTAGCTTATAAGCAGCTTGATTGATTGATTAGGTCTTGATCTGCTACTCTGCCCAGCATTTCAGCGCTTCTAGTTGTTAATTAATTTGCATGTGTACTTAGTACTATGTCGACTAATCTTATGGTTTCATGCAGCTCTTTAATTTTAATTTCTCGCTTTTGCTTATCTGTCTAAGCTTTGTAAGATTTGGCTTGATTTGTTTGTTTGGTGTTTTCAATTTAGGAGAGATTAGTAAGCTTAATTAATTTTGTCTTGAAGTAGTCGTCATATATATGGTTAATTAGCTAGCTATAGCTAGAGAGTTGTTGACTTGGTCGTGTTGACTGCATACGGATCTCTCATGAGATGACAACTGATTGCGTGTGAAGATAATCGTTTAGTTAAATGATTCCAAGATTTGGTTCAGCAAGGATATGATGTGACAGCATGGCGTACATGTATTATTCAGGTAAGAGTAACAGTACTTGAAAAGTATCCAATTATCCATACAAGTGATGAAATTAAACCAAAATGGACAATTTGAAACTATATATGCTTCTTGTGGGTTGTGAGGTGATAGGCAAATGAGTCTTGTTTCGATCCTTCCATGAACTCAAAATCCGTCACTATAAAGGAAAGAAGAGAAAATTCACATATTAATATAATTTAACTTCAATATGTACGACAATAATTTTAAAAATTCACTCCTGTTCAAAACCTTGGGATTAATTAACTTCATTGTTCAGACTCTGGGTTTCTCTGCCACTATCGATCGAAGAAGAAATTTAGCATAAAGGACATTTCTTAATATCAGGGCAAAGCAATTTTAATGACAAAACCATGCATATAATATCCTCCAATTTGCTGCAATATGCATAAGTATATTAGAATTCCATCAGATATATAGGACAAAGGAGTTGTTGTTTAGAATATATTTGTGTTATTTTATACTTAATAACCATATTTCCAGTTATATGCAAATATTAGTAAGAACAAAGATTGAAACCACATATATATACATGTTTTGTTTTATTTTCTGCACATTGGGCAAGCTCAATTAGGGCTAACTAGCTTAAGCCAAATTATTTTCTGTACATATATATAAATTAATATGCAAATTGGCCAAACTATTTTGTCACAGTGACCTAAATCAACAAAATGTGAAGTAATGTTTCACATATTTCTTGCATGCGTTTGGAGAGTTTAGCGGGTAATCATGTTAAAATTAAACAACTTTATGTGATTAATTAGCTATTTGATGAGTCCTTTATAACTGAATATATAGTGCTAAACTAATGCATCATCTCCAATGTTATACCTCTTTTTTGTTTGAGTTAATTTGTGCCGTGTATACTTTAAGCTATTAATTATTTAAAATAAATTATGTATATAATGATGTGTTATAAAATTCTGCGGGACTACCAATCTTGAGTTTTATAATATTGGTTGATGTAACGAATATACATATAATCTCATATGATGTATAATTAATCATAAACAATAATAAAGTTATATATATATATATATATATATATATATATATATATATATATATATATATATATATATATATATATATATATATATTCATGCATGTAGAGGAAAATTATTGAGAAATCAATTAACTCCTAATTATCTCAATTTACACCAGACATATAATCATTCTATTTTATTATAAGTTTTTTCTTTATATAGTAACCTCACTCGTTTCCCTACAAACTTATTCTAAATGCATACTTGAGCGTGGCTAGCCATGCATCGCAATATTCTGTCCCCATTCATAAAGGAATTATATAGTTGCAAAAGTACATTTTTAGGAGTTAACTTCAATTAATGTATAAGATCCATAGCTACTACCATAGCTATATATGTTCGTAAATTAAGCTAGCTAGGTAAATAAAATCAATGTATGGCTTATACATTGTCAAATACTACGTTCATAAAATCATGTTCCTTCTCGAAAAAAAAATCATGTTCCTAAAAGAAGATTGAATTGCACGGTGAATGAAATTATTTATGGGCATAGGTCAATCATGTGAATTAAGTTGGAAAATTATACATATTATGTATACCTGAGAGTCAAGACCTATTTTATCACAAGACATATCTTACTAACTAGTAACATTAATTTTTTACGTGTTGTATACCTGAGAATCAAGTTTCCTCAGTCTAGTTGCCTTGACCTTCCGTATGGATGGTGTTGTTCTATATGTTCTATATTTCTTAGCTTGAACTCTGTCTTCAATTTGTACATAAAGTTTATAAGTATTTTTTTAAAAAAAAATTAACAAGAATTCCCCCATTGATTTTTTTAACCATATGTACTTAATGCAAACAATGAGTCTCCAAAATTGAATTTTGGTTGTAAAAATCTATGGATAAAATGTCATTCGTAATTGTAAAATATGAGATCATATGAAAAAAAAAATTCAAAGTACTATTATTCGTTGTTTGAAAACTACTACAAAGTTAATTAAAATATCATCAAATGTTCCCCTTTTGAAGTAAAGTGAAAATAAAGGATTTCCAAACACAAATTGAGTCATATGATCAAAGATGGCCGAAGTAATCACATTAAGAATCTAGCGAGCAATCCAAAGGCAAATCATCTCATACATGATATATTTCTGTCTTGCCTGCCAATAATGACAAAAGGTGTCTAGTCTCTAGTGTGAGTGTGAGTCATCGATCTGAGTGTCTGGGAGAGGGATATAAAGTTAGATACGTGCATGATACTACATATATAGCTCAGAATGTGTGTGTTTCCCTTGAACTGACGAGACATATGTAGCTAGCACGCATGCACTTGAAGCAAATTAATCAAACTCGTGACAGGTGAGAGAGATCGATGGAGAGCTAACTAGCTAGGAGCATGGAGCTGCATGAATTAATAGATCACCCAAGTTATTCTTCAATAGAACAAAAAAGATTGAGTTATATGGACCTGCTTAGTTCGCGAAAAGAAATTTTTTAGGTGTCACATCGGACGTTTGATCGGATGTCAGAAGGGATTTTCGGATACGAATGAAAAAAACTAATTTCATAACTCGTTTGGAAACCGCGAGACAAATCTTTTGAGCCTAATTAATCCATCATTAGCACATGTGGGTGGGTTATTGTAGCACTTATGTCTAATCATGGGCTAATTAGGTTCAAAAAATTTGTCTCACGATTTCCCCCCTAACTGTGCAATTAGTTTTTTTAATTATCTATATTTAATGCTTTATACATGTGTCCAAAGATTCAATATGATGTTTTTCAGGAAAAAGTTTTTGAGAACTAAACAAGGCCTAATATTCGACAAAAGGATGTACTCACACATAGTACATACTCCCTTCATTCTAATAGTATGAATCTAGACAGTACTATATAACTGTCATATCTCATACTAAGTTTATTTTTATGGGACATAGGGAATACATCACAACACGTACCCATGTCATACCTACAATTAATGCACGTGATGATGATCGCATGATCAATTAGGGTGTGTTTAGTTCACGAAAAGAAAAATTTTGGGTGTCACATCGGACGTTTGACTAGATGTCGGAAGGGGTTTTCGGACACGAATGAAAAAACTAATTTCATAACTCGCCTGGAAACTGCGAGACGAATTTGTTAAGCCTAATTAATCCGTTATTAGCACATATGGATTACTGTAGCACTTATAGCTAATCATGGACTAATTAGTCTCAAAAGATTCGTCTCGGGATTTCCATGCAAACTGTGCAATTAGTTTTTTTTATCTATATTTAATATTCTATGCATGTGTCCAAAGATTTGATGTAACGTTTTTGGACAATTTTTTTAACTAAACAAGGCCTTAGTATACTGCCCCCTCTGTACATAAACAGAAGCATTCAAATTTCCAAGCATTTTAAATTTATCGATAAATATAAGGACTATAAAATTTTTCACTATCTGAACTACACCTAACATTTTCTTATCTCGCTTCAATTGTTGGTTGGTCATTTAAATGAAGGGTACAATAAAAGCCTTCTCTTCAATTCGTAACCTTAATTACTGCTAAACAACATATATTTATGAACGGATGAAGTAATAATGGTCAGCTAGCCCAGCATGAAGTTAATTACGTCGTCATGTAGGGTTTGCTTTAGTCCGTCATCCTTGATTTGATTGGGTAATACGTACCCGTACGTTGCCGCCAAAGTACTGTGGTGCCCTCTCTATGATGGATCGATCGAGCTAGGCAAATTGTTTATATGAAATGTACGTCAGTAGTACGTGCACGTCGGTCACCGTCTCACACTCTCACCGATGAGCAGATATATATCTCCATCTAGAGACAGATAGCCGGCCATTCGCCATGCATGCAGTACTAGTGTACTACTACTACAACTGATTACTACTGATGAATGGATCGACAAGACTTGTACACATGCGTACTCCCTCCGTCCCAAAAACTCAATTTCTAGGTTTCCGTGTCCAACGTTTGACTGTCCGTCTTATTTAAAAAAATTATGAAAAAATTTAAAAGTATAATTCACACATAAAGTATTAATCATGTTTTATCATCTAACAACAATAAAAATACTAATCATAAAAAAATTTTATATAAGACGAACAGTCAAACGTTGTACATAAAAACCCAGGAATTGAGTCTTTTTAGGACAGAGGGAGTATGGGCTTCGGCCTACCATCGATCGATCGATCGTAGCGCGTTATTTAGCTGCATGCCTCGATCGATGGACAGCGGCCGGCACGTCGTCCATGGCGGCGTCGTCGTCGCGATCTGGGCCACTGTAGCTTTGCGGCCGGCCATCAAGCGCTTCGATCAACACTGGCAGACACGCTACACATATGTATATATATCTCCATCTAGGTTGGCAGCTGTTGCTTCGATGTTCGTCTTATTACTTTAATAGTATTTTTTTTCGCGAACGCATAAAAAAAATTACACGTCATTATATTAGAAGAAAACAGAGTTTCAGTTACACAACGCAAGGTGGTGAAGTTTCGGTTACTCCACCTAGTATTATTTTTGATTCACTAATGGATCAAATTGATCTTAATATATAATCAGTTAATGTTTGCTTGACTTGTTTTATCTCGTTGCTTCATAGGGAGGCGCGCAATCCAACAAAGAATTTGAACATCATATTCCTTTGTTCCAAATGACCTCAGAGACAAAATTTCCTGAGATTCCAACCCTCCACAAATATATTCATAGGGGACCTAATCTTACTACCTCTGTATTCTAATACATAAGAAACTGGTACTGTTCAATTTCATACTTTGACC